CTCCCCACCATCACAGACATCTACACCTCCAGATGCAGGAAGAGGGCCACCTGCATCATGAAGGACCCCACCCACCCAGCACACACACTTTTTGCCCCACTCCCCTCAGGAAGGAGGTTAGGGAGCATTGAGTGTGGAACCACTAGACTGAGGAACAGCTTCTACCCTGAAGCTGTTAGACTCATGAATCTCTAACTAGAATAATCACTGTGAAAAACCATATCATGTTGCTGCTGATCTGTTTCATGTTGCTGCTGATCTGTTTCAATGTTGATGTGTTCATGCGTGCACATCTGCTCACAGACTCATGTTCATGTTTGTGCTGATGTTCAATGTTTTATGTTATGAGTGCTTAGTGTATATTTAGTTGATGTTTTTCTTAGTTCATATCTTAGATGTTATTACTGTTTTTCTTATACATTTTATTGTTGGATGTAACTGGGACCCTGTGTACATAATTTCGTTCCACCACATGTACCACATGAGGTGCGAATGACAATAAAGAAACTCTGACTCTGACTCTGATGTTAAACAATTATATTTACACAAAAAAAACACCAGTTTCTAACATGAAAATCGAAAAATGTATTTACAATGGTCTAAAGGGCCTTAAATGAAAAATAAATACATTATTTATAGTAGTACTTTGATTACATAAAACATAAAAAAACCAAGAGTACAGCATATTATACTGTCATCGACACACTATAGTACAGCTATCTATAGAAATGGCCCAGAACGTTTGACCTTAACTTGTGACCTTGACTTTGAAGCTGTGGTGACGGAAAGTGTCCACGGCACTCCGACAAGTGATGATGAATTTGTGGAATAAGTTTTAATGAATTGTTTTGAAGGCACAGTGACTCAGCTGGTAGAGCTGCTGCCTCTCAGAGAGAAGGTTGCCAGATCAAATCTCGGCTGGGAATCTTTCTGGGTGGAGTTTGCATGTTCTCTCCGTGCATGTGTGGGTTTCCTCCCACAGACCAAAATCGTGCATGTTAGACTGATGTCTCTAGGTGTGAGTGAGAGTGAATGGTTGTTTGTCTCATTTGTCTCTGTGTGTCTCTGTGATAGACTGGAAACCTGTCCAGGGTGTCCCCTGCCTCTTGTACAGTGATAGCATAACTAAACATGGGCACCAGTGACCCCCGTGACCCTAAAAGGAAGAAGCGTGCATGTATGTATGTATGCATGTGTGTACGTATGTATGTGTGTATGTATGTATGTGTGTATGTATGTGTGTATGTATGTATGTATGTATGTATGTATGTATGTGTGTATGCATGTGTGT